TACTTCTTTATAATAAATAGAATGTAATGCATACATCTAAAATTTTTAATGGTGCGGGATAAAGACCTTGTGTTTGTGACATAACTTTCTTTTGAGCTTGTTGCAAAATATAATTTTGTACATATGAACTTGACATTATTTTCGATTTAATATCTATGAAAATCACATAATAAATAATGAGGGGAGAAAACAAATATCTTACTTTCTATTAAACCAGGTTCTTTCTTAGCAGGTTTTTGTACAGTAAGTTCTCTAAAAGAAGATAATATTACAATATGATTTAAAACAAAAAAAACAATACTAATCCTTTCAACAGAATACAAACCGATTATGTCCGATCTGTGTACAAAACAAACAATTAGCCCATTACTTCTCAGTTATAACTCTCTGTTTATATGCTCAATTTCTTTTGCAACATGAAAAATGTTATTAGATTTCTTCGCGTTATGAACAGTTCAGAAATGAAACATTTTTACAAAAGCGAACAGTAAGATGACCTAACAAACCAATTGAAAGATTTCTTAAGTACAAAATCGGAAAAATTTTTCTAGAGAGATATTCAATAACTTCGATTATGTTACCATCTCGGATCATTCATCCGATAGTATGCTAATTATGTTGTGATATACAGGATTGTACATAACCTTTTGCTAGGACGGGGGTAGCGCTATAATTTCAAGTTGAATACTTAATGAATTTTATATTAAATTAAAGCGCGTCGAAAACGGGATACATTAGTACTAAATAGTAAGAGTTATTAAAATCTTTCAATGTCGAACTTACGAAATTTTCAGAAATCTTATGCTTTTTTCGAATGTTTAAAAATTCGTTTTTTTTTTATATGGAAAAGAAACGAGTTTTTAAACATTTTTTAGGATGTTGTAAGTAATGTTCAAAATTTTTTCTCTAAGAAAAATGATTTAAAAAACTTTTAATATAGACAGTTTTGTAGAGCTCGACGAGTTCTATCGAACCATGTAAAAATATCAAAAGAAAATATTTTACTCTATATTTGAATTGCTGACGCTTTAATTTTCTATGCCAAAAAAAAAACATAAGATTTCTGAAAATTTCGTAAGTTCGACATTGAAAGATTTTGATAATTCTTACTATTTAGTACTAATATATCCTGTATTCGACACGCTTTAATTTGGTATAAAATTCATTAGGTATTCAACTTGAAATCATAGCGCTATTCCCTCCTAGCAAAAGGTTATGTACAACCCTCTACATCAGCTTGGCCATCTTTCTAGAGTTGTAGGGAAAATATCGAGCTATTGAATTTGCTGTTAAACGGATGTATTCTTCTCATTGGTAGAAAAATTATGTCTATTCCATATTATGACTATATCATCATAAAAAATGAATATACTTTGCTTTTTGTACAGCAACTGATCGAAGATAGTTTATATTTTTTTCTTCGGCTGGATGTAAACCTGGTCCAATAGGTTCAACAATAGCATCGACTAAACCCATTGATTTAGCTTTTTTTGCTTTAATTTCTTTACCAGTTAAAATAACATCAAGTGCATCAGGTAATGAAAGTTTTTGTACTAATCTTTGTGTACCACCAGCACCAGGTAATAAACCTAATTTAACTTCAGGTACACCAAATCCAGTTCGTTTATCATTCATTGCAATACGATAATGACATGCTAAAGCAACCTAAAAAATTAAAAAAATTCAATAAAAAAATTTAATAAAATTAACTAACTTCAAATCCACCACCAAGACATGAACCAAAAATAGCAGCAACAATTGGTTTTTTCGATTGTTCAATCTGATTCATAACATCTTGACCATGACGTGAAATTTTATAAAGTTCATCACGATTTTTAGCTGATTCAAGCATACTGAATAAACAAATGTATATTTTAAAAAAAAAAATCAATAAAACAGAAAAAAAGATTCATACGAACTTAATATCAGCTCCAGCAATGAATGAACCTGGTTTAGCTGACATAACCACAATGCCTTTAACTTTATCATCGTTTTGTAAATGATTAAATAATGGAACAAATTCGTCCATCATTCCTCTGGACAATGTATTAACCTTAATTTAATGACGAAAAAATAAAAAAAATATTTTTTTCGTTTTTTCTTTTATACTTTAGAATTTTCTTGATTGAATAGTACAACAGCAATGCCATCCTGGTATTCGACTTTTAAATTTTTTAATTGTTGTAAATCCGCTTAAAAAAACAAAGAAAATTTAATTAGAAGAAAAAAAAATTTAATAAATTAATTTACTAGGTTTATTTTGAGATTGTTGTTGTTGTTGTTGTTGTTGAACTGATGTGGAAGCAAGTCGAGTGTATAGTTGTATTGCAACTATTTTCAATGAGATAAGATTTTGTGTAAATTATTAAAATATTTCCTATACAAATCTTACCTGGTGAACGAGTAAGAGTTAATAATCGTTGCTGACGACAAATCAATGATGTGAATATAGCTGAAGCCATTTAAGAAATATCTACAATTAAATTAAACCACAAAACGATTATCGATCAATGATATCGAATAGAGCAAAGGTCTTTTTTATTTCTATTCTTTACCATATGATGTAGATTTCACCAATGATAATATGAATATAGATCATTAGTAGTAAAATCAATATCTCAATTTAAATATGAAAGCAATATAATTAAATATTAATTAAATTAAGTTAGAAAAGTTGTTAAAAATAATAAATCATTATCTTTGAGCGACATCTATTGAAAGTACCGTTTGTTATCTGCAATATACACGGTCTGTTTCAAAGTTTGACATACGATGCTGACGATATAGTACAAGCTGATTTATGCAAAGCGGTTAAGCACTTAAGAAATCTTCGAGAACATCAGTTTTTCTTTTATTCACATGGATTAGTCTTAAGAAAACTGACTAACGCCATAAAAAGAGCAGATCTTCATCGTTGTCTCTATTCAAGATTTTACTATAAATCTCAATGATTATTTTGGCATCAAATAAACTGATTGAATGTACATATAGATTCTCAAGTACTTTGGCTTTTTTTACAATCCATTTATAATATGTAATGTCCTATTGGAAAAGAAATTCTTTGATTTAAAAATATTCAAAAGAAGTCAATCTCACCAGTCGTTCGTACAATACAGATTTTAACTTTAAACGCTAAAGTTCAAGAATTCTTAAGCTTTTTAGAAGTGGAAAGTATAAAATTTGAACTCATATTGTTTTGGTCTTATATTATAATCTTTGAAATTGAATTTAGAAAAAGTATAAATCATTATATGTAATATATAATTCTTTTGAAGATGGACTATTTCGATTCAGACAAAAAGTTCACTTTGACTATGTCTGAATTTTGTTTTTCAAGTGGTTCTGTAGCATCTCATACAAGTTTTTTTTATAATTAAGATGTTCTAAAACTATTGAAATTCTTATTATATCAAAGCATAGAAAGCTTGAAAAAAAAAATTCTGTTCATATGTACTTACAGCACTAAGAGTACTATACATATTCGCAGTATGATTATCATTAATCGAGTAAACAATATCATATGAAAAATTTGTGTCGAAGTTATAGATCGCCATTTTTAGATGTAAAAAAGAAGTTTTCATTTATATAGTTAAGTACATACTATACTAAACATTTAACCAAAACTAATCCATTCTGAATTATATTCTACTATTGGCGATCAATTTCTACCTAATAATATTGTTGCAAGTTGATCATATTGGCTTTATGAGGTTCGAGAAAAAATCGAAGATCAATCAGTAGCCGACACAACATCTAGCAATATTGAGAAAGTGTGCTAGCTCATTGATAACAATTCCAACGTTGCGATTGATGAAATACAAGTAGAAACTGATATGAGACGCAACACTATCTAAAGCAACATTACCGCTCATCTGAAGATAGTGCTCGCTAGTTATCCGATATTCTGACACATGTTCAATGAACCATAAGAGTGATACATTAAGAAGAAAATTTTGGAAAGTTTCAATAGAGAACATAACAATTTGGTGACGATTCGTACTTTTATCATGATCAAATTAGTAGAAAATCGTCGAACACTGTCTGAACACCAATCAGATGAACTCCACAAACTATAGTGCACAGCGACTGCTTTACTCCGCAAGCTATGTTTTGTATCCTTTTTAAGACGACTGATCTCCCTCTTGCAACTGTTGGCTAACAAAATGTGCAACAATAGATCAACATTTGACACATAATTATGTTATTAGAATTCACCACGACAATACCAAACCACATGCTCGTAAAGACATCAAAATTATTCGATATTCATCGAATTCTCTGAATATACGTAATACTATGTGATTTTTTAGTTATACAATCCTATCAAATAGAATGTAGCTGAAACCATGGTCATGAACTCGCTCGACAAGAATAACTATAAAAAAATATTTTGATAAATGGCTTAAACAGGGTGTGAATGTGCAGCAAATATTCACACCACACCTGTCCAAACAAAGTTTTTGAGTTTTTCAAAGATTATTTCACTACTCTCGAACGAAAACAAAGATAAGATTTCTAAGTCCACATCTAACTCATAGCTTGTGACTCATCTACTTTGCCGAAAATCGTTTCGTTGAAAGACTCGTTTGCTGCCTTAGACTGTTCGAACCCCCACTTAATTTTTATACTGGCTTGTTAAGATGAAGAGGTCAATTCATTTTGCCCACACTCACCCCTTTGAAGCGCCCTGTATGATCAGAAAATGCTTTCGATGAAGTGCTTTTCGACGGAGAGCATAATTACCTTCATATACAATATTATGATAATGACATATGCTTGTATCTTTTCATGATTCTGTAGAAGAATATTTTTCATCTTATTCTTCAATTTAGATGAGTTGAGTTTCATATTCTATGATGGTCTGTATTATTCATCAAATATCTAGATTAGGATCTATGAAAATTCATTAGCATTTCTTTTATTTATTATTCAATTCAAGATGATGACAAGCAATACAAAAAAAAAAGCTAGCAAAATCTATTTTAACTATTTTTCATTCTCTAACTACTATCACCGGTATGTAAAAGATTATCGATAACATTTTCTAATGATCGACCTGATTCTTTAGCTTGTTGAACAGCACAAAGAACAATACGTGCGCGTTGTTCAGGTTGGAGAAGTCTATCGAATTCATCAAGAGCTTTTTCACGAGCTTCGGAGAGTTTACGAAAACCTTCACGTAATCGTTGTAACAACTCTTCTGCTTTTGCACTATCATTAGCATCGACAGCTGTTTGCATTTGTGCAAGAACTTCTCTACCAGCTTGACGACGAGCATTAAGTCGTTCACAAGCACCTCGAAACCATTCTTTGAGCTAATACAAATAATAAAATGCAAAAAAAATCTTTAAAATTGAATAATTAATAAATCTTACCCCTCGTTCTTGATCAGCTGATAAATTCAAATTAGCTTTGACTTTCCAACTATCGACAATTGCATCAGTTCGACCTTGGGCCATTTTTTTCTTAAATAATAATTATTCAATATAACAAAAAAACATTAAAAAAAAAATATCATACACTTACTTGTTTAGATATAAAATATTACAATAAGAATAAGAATAAGAATAGAATGAATACACTGGTATCCTTTGGTTTATATAGGCTAATAAGAAGTAAGAGCAAACAGTACTCTTATCAATATTTAGGTACCAAGTCCGACCTTGCATCACAGAAAAAAAAGAAAGGGCTGGATTGGATAAACAAAAAAAAATGTTATATCATCATTATCTTTCTTCTCTCTGGTCACCCCACCACACCCAAAATATTGCTTATCAAAATCTTGTATATTTTTTCAAGATAAAACTATTCTTCTTGTAATATGGTGTTTTGTGGTTGATATTAACTAAATATATTACAAGTTTATCAATTTAACTCTTGAAATTTGAAATTTATTTTTATTTTTATAAACAAAAAAGATTTTAACACTATCAACTCATTTATCATTTAAATAAATAAATAAACAAATACATAAATGAAAAAAAACACAGTGTTCGCTTTATCTTATGACTAGATTATATAAAAGTACGGAAGAAGAAACCTAATGCAAGAGAATGGATAGCTTCATATATTTCTATATCATTTATTATAACATAAATTCATGTTTATTTGATACTAAATATTTGTGTAATAGTGTAGGATAATCAGTCATAACACCGGTAGCACCTAGATGTTTAAAAGCATATTCAAATTCTTGTTCGTTATTTAATATCCAAACATAGACCTAAATTCAAAAAAAAACTAATTAAGAAAAATAAACGATATAATTAAAAATTAAACTTACAGGAATACCACGTCGTTGTAAATGTGCAAACATAGTTTTATTATTTAATGCTCTAGATTTATAAAAAACAGAGAAAACAACATAAAAAATTATTTTAATAGAAATAATTACCGTTCAGCTAAATAGAAAACTATTTTGAGTTTCCAATCGAAATTTTTTATTGTTTTTCTAAAAATTACAAAAAAAAAATAAGAAAATCATTTAATAAAACAAAACTTTCTTTCATACCTAAAAACCATTCCCGGTACTGGTACTTCAAAAGCACCTATATGAAATAAATGATGCAAAATTCTTTTTTTTTTTTGATAATTTTCATATTGTTTACCTGGTATTAATGTTATAAAAGGTAATAAACCAATCCAATAACCCATTACAATACCTGCTGCTTCTTTAAATGAACAAAATCGAACAATATGAGGATTCTAAGATAAATAAAATTACTAAATATACAAAATAATAATAGAAGAATAATATCAAACTTGTGCTGTTAATTTTCGACATATTACATGACTAAAACTACCCCAATAAGTAATATGTTCTCGTCGATATTGTTGAATAAGATCAGAAACCTAAATATTATGATCTATGTAGTAAGAACGTACACAAATTTTCACGAACAAAAAAAAGGAATTTCATCTAATAAGAGCGGATGGAATTTTTGTAAAATGTCTTTTTCTCTAGATAAATTTCGTAATTAAAAGTGAGTTCTATTGATTACAATATTCAAGGAAAAATATTATCAGTGTTCATTGAAAAATAGAATTTAGATATATGTATTAGAATCAATTTGATAAATGAGAGAAACATATAGGTTAATCAATTTATCTGAACTATGTTTATAGACGTTGAAGAATGATAATATGATTTTTTTTTTTTACTTGTTTAATAAGTTCATCATTATTTTCTTTAATATCAATATTAATTGGAGTTGTTGGATAACGTTCAAAAACATCTTTTAATAATGGTATACGTAATAAATCTCTATTATTTGGATTATTATTATCACTTGATATAATTATGTCTATAAAAAAAAATTCTTTTTTATTTTATGAATGAATATTTTAATTTTTTACCTGAGTCATAATAAAGTGGAAGACTATTACTAATTCTTGGTAAATTCTAGAAAAGAAATATATTATTTTTGTATTTTTCATGATGAATTATTTTTTTTATTTACATTATATTCAATATCTCTAATAAATCCTATTTCACCAGTCGTTCTATCTAATGTAAAATCATGATGAACAATAACTTGAGAATCTTTTGTAAAATGACAATCTAATTCAAGCATTTCCACTCCATTTTTTAATCCTCTATAAACATAAACATTCAATATAAGAAGGAAAAAAACAATTTGTCTTTTTTAATTATACTTGTCAAATGCAAGTAAAGAATTTTCAATTGATTCTCCAGCTCCTAATACAAAAATCAAAAAACATAATTTTTATTTTTTTATGATTCATAAACAATTTATGAACCTCCTCGATGAGCTATATTTCGTACAATAAACGCAGGTCGACGTTTTCGATGAATCCATTGTGGTTTACGTAGGAAGATATATGAAGATATAACATAAACAGTTGCAAACGTTGTACAAGCCACAAACAGTGCCATGTATATTATATCAAATGAAAGTCAAGTAGTTCGATCTATATATTATTTGATTTAATTCAATTCATTCATCCATAAAGCGACATCTATGTTGAATATTATTTTAAATAAAAATAATTAAGAAAAAAAATTTTTTTTTTCCGATGTTCTATTGTTTTTTTTTTCAAGTAAAGATTTTCATTTAATAAATAAATTAAAATTCTTTAACCAATAAAAACTTCGACCATTGTTGTCATGGTGTCAATTATATATTCTTATTGACAAATTGATTAATTAAATATATCAAATGTCTACCGATATAAATAATGATGATGATTTTAATGATCAACATCAAATTAATGATGTTGAATTACGTGAATTAGTATATCAATCACTTGAACGTGATGGTTTAATAACACAATTAAAAGCACAATTACGTGCTGCTGTTTTTAAAACAATTGAAAAAGCATCAATTCCATCGAATATACCAAATAAAGCTGGTTATGAAGGTATTAATGGACGAATATGTCGTGCACTTGTTCTTGATTGGCTTGAACATTCACGTTTATTATATACAAAAGATATACTTGAAGTTGAAACATCAGGTTCAAATTATCCATTACCATTAAAATATAATGAATTACTTGAAAATTTACATCTTGATTCAATAAAAACAAATACATCTCAACCAATTTTACATGTTTTACTTAATAATAGCAATAATCAAGTAAGATACGAAAAAGAAATAATTAATCAAATAAAATTATTTGTTTTTTTTTTTTTTGTATTTTAGTCTAACAAAATTAATTTTCTACCTGATCATATTAAACAATCGATTGATAGTAAATTTCCAAATGAAAAAATCAATGATATAAATCGTGTACGTGAACATTTTCGTTCATTATTTTCATTTGCATTTGATTTAAATGTACTTGATACATTTTTTAATAAAAATCTTTCATTATCATCAACATCATCAATATCTAAAAGTGAATATGAACAAATTTGTTTAAAATGGATACAAGCATGTGCAAAAGTACTTATACCATCATCAAGTCCTGTTAAACAAACATCAACGACGTAAGTTATTTTCTTCAAGAATTCTTTTACTTATTATAATCAATAACAACAAAATTTTTTATACATGATCGAAGCTAAGTTGATGCCTTGTTTTTTTAGATTTTCGTCAAGTTTAAATTCTATTCTAGTTATGCAGAATAAATATAAAGCAGTATATCGATCTTTTAATCGTGAGAAAATATTTTACGGAGACTAACGAGGAAACGTTTTTAAGCGTCAAATCGTTCTCAATGAGCTAGAAATACCCTAAAAAAAAATTTCAGGTCGTTAGCTTATTGGTGTGAAGATCTTGTATTATTAGTGGATACCGTGATCCCTCTCGGAAAACTAAGTTTCAGATTTTTTGATTGTTTCTTTTCTAAAGTAAGACCATCGGAAGCTACCAATGTCTGTGACGGACGTAAAAAAACATTTTTACCATAAACGGAAAAACAAAATTGTCTGAGTCTTAATTTAAAGAGAGTAACTTGATAATAAATGAAATGTCTTAATTAAGTCAAAGTGAAATGAAGAAAATGTATTTTATTGATTTGAACATGTCTTCATTTCATTTTGATTTAATTAAGACGTTTCGTTTATTATCAAGTTTACTCTTTTTAAATTATGACGTATATATATATATATATATATAGCCGTTGTTATAAATTTGAGTCTTGCAAATTTAGCTTATGATTTCAATGTTTATGATTTATGATATATGTTCATGTTATGATTATGGTTGTTATTATTATGTTAATTAATGGTCAGATATCGTTGTTAAGTACTGCGGATAATCGATCTTATCAGCAGGTTCCAACAGAAAACTGGCCGAAAATTCTACATTATATTATATTAATTAAATTTAATTTAATACACGGTCTGAGTCTTTAATAATGAACTATTCTTGTTAAGATCCCCCTTCTTAGAATCAATTTATCACTTAGAATCAGTCATTTGAGCTAAAATTTACAGAAATAAGTGGTCCTGATGAGAAACGCTTATGATAAAAATTTTCAGGCCGATATGTCATATTAGACCGAACTTCCACGAAAACCTTTATAACTTCGTCAGCTCGGGCTAGTTTCCAATTAAAGCTAACCTTCGAACAGAATTTTCAAACTGCCTTTCATTCATTTTTCATGAGCATTTTAATAGACATAGTGTTTAACTAAGTAAAAAGAAAAGATGATCCTCACGACACTACATTCCACTGTTCTCAGCCATAAATCCAATATAAAAAATCTGATTGGACAAAAGTTTACTCTCATTGAGACCTTTAAAACAAGAAAAAAAATATTGGTTATACAATGAACCGGATGGGAGTTATTTCAATTTTCCTGTCCGAAAATCATGTTTTGAGAAAAATGTTAAAGAAGTTTTTGAGATGAATTTTTTCATTCAAATCCAGAAAAAAATATTACAATTGTATATTTTTAATACATGTCAGTGGACTGTTTTAAAGCACGTAACCGATGAAGATAGCTAAGGATATTTGTCATGCTAATTAATATAAAAATGTTTTATTTAATGCTAATGCAAGTGACAACACAATTTTTCAAAAACAGAAAAATTTTTTGAAAAAAACACGAATATTTCTCCGAAAACATGATAGTAGAGTCGAAGAACTCTGGTCGTTTTGCGAAAAGCCATAGATATTCTGAAAGAAGAAGCTTCGATACGTCTTTCTATGACAAAAATTCAACTTCGATATTTTTTTGAAAAATTGGATTTTCTGAGAGGAAAATTCCTTAATGTTTGTCGTGTCATCGAGAATTTAATGCATTTTCTATTGTGAAAAGTATTGGAAGTTAGTTTTTGTTAACTATTCTTTCTTTATCATAACACAACCTTGACCTTATGGTTTTTTTTTGTTTTAGTGTACCAATTCAACCACCATCATCGCACAGTATTGTTAATAATGGTCAAACAATAACTCGAGCTCGTCGTTCAACATCTCCACCATCAGAATCAAATTCATCATCATCATCATCATCAGACAATCCACGAAAAGATAATTATGATTTTCAATTACCAACAATAATGGGTACAAATAAAAATATTGTAAAAAAAAGTACAGATATTACTCCACCACCATTACTCAATTTTAAAAATAATAGTACTGCTGATGATGATGATGATAATACAACATCTTCATTATTTTCTCAACGTAATGCAACACCAGCTGCATTAAATCATTTAAAAAATATTGAAGATATTATTCGTGGTGATGTGACACCACGTACAAGAACAATCATTAAAAAAACATCTCTTACTGGTAATAAAGATATTCCAATTGAATATGATGATGAAAGTATGAGTCAAAGTCAAAGAAGTAGTGTTGATGATATTACTGTGGATAAAGCATCACCATCTCCATCAGCTCATATCGATTATTTGGAAGATTTATAAACATTTCGAAATTATTATCAAATTTTTTTCATATCAATGATGTGTTCCATACTCGCTAATGATTTATTATAATAATAGACATTTCTTTTTTTTTTTTTGATGTCTATGGTGAAATAATTTTTCCTTTTTTTGTGTGCCTTTAATTTAATGCAATTTTGTTAACAAATTGAATTAAAATTCAGAGAAACTTTTGCTATGCAGAGTATCATTAAGATATATATTGATGATTATGCATTACCTATTCCTTTTGCAAATGAATCATTTTTTTTCTCTTAGAATCACTCAAAACAAAAAAGAAATGGTAACCGTTTAGAGTCAGTTAATTTTCAAGAACATAGTAAACTATTTTAAACCATGTGTATTTGGTTATTCTATTCATTAAAGAAAACGCTGTTAATGCAATCCATGTGAGATTAAAATGTGAAACACGATGTAGTTCATACTTCGAATCGGATCGGTGTAACTTTTCAGAAATGGATTTTTTGGGGCACTAACGCTGGTCTATTTTGCTAGTTTTTCAACAATCAAGAAATATGAGCCTGGAAGTTTTCAAATGATAAATTTCTAGTTATTATCAAAATCCCATAGGAAGTCTGCCGTAAAAATTGTACTATCTTTCTATCAGCAATAGTATCCTTTTATGAATTGACATGTTTTTCAACTATATTAAAGTATTATTTCAAATAAGAATAGAACAAACTTATCAATTGTAAAGAAATCATATCATTATTAAAAAAAGCTAACCGAAGCATAATATAGATGTTGTTCAATATTAATTGCTGTAAATCATTAGATAAAATACCATTGGCTAAAATAGGAGTTGTTACTATTAAAAACTTCAAGGGTTATATAAGTTTTACATTGTATGTCGATGTAGAACTGAAGTAATAGATTGTCTCTCGAAAGAACTGTAAACGCATAGGCTTTCAATCGGTTGAGTTACGAATTTCAACCGGGCGGTCCGATTCAAAAAACAAAATCCGATCAATTTCAAGTATTATGTAGCTGCTGAACGATCGTGTACTACAAAAAATGAAGAAATTCAAGTCATCAAATCATTGCCAAAGATAAAAGACTTCTAATGACTGTTTATTTTATTTTTGATTCTTTTTAGAAATTACAAGAATGTTATATGAATCAGATGATGGTGCACAATTACAAGAAGTTTTATTAAAAATGCCTTCCGAAGAAGTTAATCGTCGTCCTGATTGCTATATTAAATCAGATTTATTAACAACAAATACAAGAGATGAAAGAGATGATGATGAAGAACAAATAAACAAATAACAAAGATAAAGTTCCAAAAGATATGGAAAAATTGCATTGTGGGTGTGCCCGAACACAAGTCTTACATCTACACCCATCTCGTGTCGTACTGGAATGTGTCGTAAAGTACGACACATGTGACACATTTTATTTTAATGCGTGATACAGCACGAGCGATACGAAACGTGTTTTCATATACTTGTGAATTAAAAATATATGTATTAAGTGCATTAATGAGTCATTTATTTTTAATTACTAATAGAATCATACAAAGTAGTACATAAGCATTTATTTCAATGCACCAAAATGTTGGCTTGTTAATAAAACTGTTTTACTTTAATTTTTGTTATTGATTGTGAATTATCATTATTGCTGCTATATTTTACTTTTGAAATCTGTATCCATGCCCAACAAAATCTACAAGTAAATACAACCGTCCATGTACGATATAATTGCTCTTCAATTGTTGTTGTTTTTTCAATTAATCCAGTTCTAAGCAAGCATAGTAGTGATAAATATACATATGTTTCTTTACAATTTTCATTCTTATGTAAGCAAGTTTAGAACTAAATCAGAAGATATTCACCTACATGATGCAAAATTTTGGCAGTCGTTAGGATTAACATAACATTTAATTAAATTATGCTTAATTTTATTCTTTAATGCAATTAAATTCATTAAATGTTGAATATCTATGAACTAAACTCCCACCTTCATAGATGCTACTTCAGAAAGAAGTCTGTTTCGAAATGTTGTTGCTACATCAGTTGACTCTTGCATAAAAAGCAGAATTTGTTCTTCTTTCATAAAAAACCACGGCCATTGCTCGGATATTTTTGTATAAAAGTTATCATTATATTTAAACAGATTTAAATTGGGTAATTCGGCAAAAAGAACCGATTATATAATCTCATCGCCCTGACATAACGAGGATCATCATCAATACTAAAATCTATAATACGTACATCCTGCACTAAACACTGATTATAGATGTATAACCATCTCTTTAAGATATCCATTGCTGTAACTTTGTCATCTGATCCATAAGCCGATAAAATTAATGCAGGAATGGATGGAACTACTGACTTTATTATATGAAGATTAATAAATTTTGATTTATTAAAATTATCAAATCACATCTTTAATTCCTCGAAGTTTTTTGTCTGGAAAAAATTTGGCTGTGGTATTTCATCAATTAAAGGTGATAATAAACCAATGAAAGAATTTAGTTGTGCATCATAATCAATACGACAAATGGAACTAGTCGAATCTTCAGAAGAAAGTACATAATTACAATTATTTGCTCGTGAATATTCTTGTAGTAATTTAAATTGAAATTCACATTCCATTATTCTCATTTCCTGCTTTCTAATCAACGATTCTATATTAGATATATGAGGTAGTGCGACAAGTAAATTTAATCGAAGGAATTCGTAGCAGTTTCTTCTACCAAGAATAAACAACAATAAAGCGAACTGCTGAATATGATTATCATAACTAAATTTATTCTTTGCTTTTTTTTAAAAATTTTCAAACGTATTTTGAATCCATGGAATCAGAATAGGAATATTAATATCATTTAATGCGCTAAATGAGTGCTTCCATAATTCAAATATTTTTTTTGAATATCATTTTCTATATAATTATGTGTAAATTCGAGATTTTTGACAAGTTTTTCTTCGATTTTACCAATGATAATAAACGTTCAAGGAAATTTCCGTCGGCTGACACAAATTCAAGTGTTTTTTTTTTAAATAATTCATTTCGACAACATCGAAAGTAAGTATCTATATTAATTGATCTGCTGTTATAGATGATAAAGAAGTCATGTCTTGAATGGCTCGTATTCTCGATAAAGCTCGCATAAATCTTTATTTAAAACACTTTCTAAAAAGCCCTAAAGATTTTTATGGATCAAATTCATCATATCATCTGTTAATTCATCAAGTTGAAAAATATTTATGTTGGTGTTGTATAAGTATTGTTCTTTATGCAAAAATACTATTGATCATAAAGCTAAATGTGAAAAAAGCATAGAGATCAATCTGTCCAATACAAAGTGAATCATTTTTTGTTCTAAATCAATACAGATACAATTATAAATAGTTTCGTTTCGATTCGATGCGCTTTATTAGTTTCCGGAAAACTCATTTTAGTGCAAGGAGAGGTGTAAGAGATTTCCAATGATCGTAGTGGACATAATGAATCATGTTGACTGTTATACACGATCTCGTGCGATGTACCATTAGCCATTGTCGGTGAAACTCATTTCTCCGCACCCACACTTGGTGCGATGCTGTGTGAGTCTTTCTTGGTGGAACTCCTTTCTTCGCAGCCACATCTGCTGCGATGTGATGTCTATTGGTTTTTTAGAATTTAAGCATTTTGAATACATGTAAGAGCTCGATATCTTTGATGATCATATCCAATACGACGATTATGTCCATTGTGACCATTATGTCCATTACGGCCATTACGGCCATTATGTCCATTACTGTCATTATGGCCATTATGACTATCTTGTCCATGGGCACCTTCAACGGAAACCGAATGTGTGTTTCGGAAACTAAACTCAGTTTCCGGAAATTGATCAGCGTCGGGAAAATAAATGAGTTTCCTGGAAACTTATATAACGCATCATATGATATCATCGTATTTTTTAATGACTTTGTTCAGAAATGAGTTAGAGTCTTGATATTTGCAATATAAGTTGTACTTATCAATTAACATTTGTGGTAAAAAAAAATCAGCTCTGGACTCTTTGTAGTTTGTTCAAGGGATAAGCAAAATAGGGTGGCAAAAATTGTGTATCACATGCCAATTGACACCACTAAGATGTAAATTATTCAAAAAGAAAAAATAATAATAAAATTTGATTTTCACTAATCGATAGTGCTCAAATTGGTGAATCTTTTTATGGAAAAAGATTTGGCTTAAAGTCTTTGTTGAATTCACACTATGCTTAAAAGTGGATGGGACACTTTTTTTCCTATTTCCAGGAACCATTGATAAAATATTAAATTTCTGTAAAATGACAATAGCTGAAGGAAAAATAAGATTATGAGTAGATAGAGCATTCGAAAATGATATAAGAAAATCAATCAAGTGTCATTTACATTTTTTATTTCAAGTTAAAAAAAAAGATCGAAAGAAAAGCATCCAATCTGAAACCATCATAAAAACGCACAAAAAAGGTCAAAAAAGTAGTTTATTTCCAGTATTTTTCGTAAACGACAAAAGATAGAAACCTGATTTTAGTATAGCATAAGTAGAGCATGATTGACAGGTATTTTGGTATTAATTTCGAGTAATTTGACTGCACAGGAACTGAGAAATAAGCAAGACCATTTTTGACGGTCAAACGGTACAATAGACACCAGAATGACTCATATACACACTTTGACAGACGATTTACATCCCATTCGATAAAGAAATTAATTCTGAACAAAAATTGTATAAATACATTCTAGGAAAAATCAAAGATTGACTACAAAAAATTTCGAATACTCTTAAGATGTGGTCATATACAGGCTTTGCTGAAACCTTGTGTATCTTCGATCTTCACTATATGATTCAGAACCGGAATCATTTTTTCAATATCAATATTAATCGTTAAGAGCTATAAAAGTGCTCGCATAAGTGGTTGCAACAGGCCTGTCTTCTATATTTTATGAAGCACATACCACTCTTATTATAGACGAAGCTACTATATAGAGAACCTTATTTTTTCTTCGTTCTCCACTATATGCTTCAGAGCCAAAGCCATTTTTTCAATATCAATACTAATGATTAAGACCTGCAAATGTGCTCGAATAAGTAGCTGTAAAATAACTGTGTTGTGTGTAATGTATAGGGAAGTACGGTTCAATGTATAAAATTTGATTCCAGAAAGGTCACAGATGCAAATGATGTATCTGTGGAATCTACTCATCAATCAAATTGATGATAGGACACGAAATGTTTCAAAGTTCTGCTTTCGATGACTGATAATGGAAGAGGGACTGGAGTGTAAGTGTAAGAAATTGTTTGCGTAATATCTATGAATAAACAAACAAAATGTGTGAATATTGCCGTTCTATAGAGAGAATGAGAAAAAGAAAGAAAAATAATTACTTTCCTACTGACTATAATAAGAGTCATTGTTAGCGTCAACAGATGATACTATGTCGCCGCTAACTTTTAAGTAAAGAGTCCTTTGTTCATTGGTTCCCATTGCCCTCTTTTATGTAACCTGTAGTTATCTTTTCCTCTGATATATGTATATAGCTTTTTGTCCCACTTTTCTTGAGTGGCTTTTTCGTTATTCTAAGCGGTAACACTCTTGTTCAATCTCACGATTTTCTTCTCTCTGTTTCATATATACCTTTTTTGTTTTTTTCCACCTTTTCCTCGTTGAACTTATTCTTTCATGTCCAGTATTGTGTCTGTTATCTTCATTATTACCTCATCATATGTATATTTCCAATAACCGAACTTATGAATCTTAAACTCATTATTGCATGCTCATATTATTGATAATCAAGAGTAAGGTAAGACATACTTAGCTGAGATTTCTAGTCCTATACAGACCAAGGATTATACTAGTTATCTTTCAAATTACGTATATCACTGAGGCAGAGGTAACGGATAGTAGCAGAAAATCTCGCAGTCATTTACATAAAAATGCTTATCGGGTGTGTTTGTTGTAATGGTCGTATTGATTCGAAGAATCATCGTCCATTTCATGGGTGAGTGTGGGTCTTCTCTTCTCGCACGCTCACACCTGCACTCACACATCCATAGCCATACCCATATACACCCATACCTTTTGCAACTACTTATTCGAGCACTTTTGTAGCTCTTAATCATTAGTATTGATATTGAAAAAATGGCTCCGGTTCTGAATCACATAGTGAAGATCGAAGGTATACAAGGTTTCAGCAAAGCCTGTATATGACCACATCTTAAGAGCATTCGAAATTTTTTGTAGCCAATCTTCGGTTTTTACTCGAATGTATTTATACAATTTTTGTTCAGAATTAATTTCTCTATCGAATGGTATGTAAATCGTCTGTCAAGGTATGTATATACACCATCTGAAATGAATGATTCTTTGACCCAGAGAAGGTCCAATAGAGTCTATATGGCTGAGTATCAAAGTAAGGGAAAAGCTTGACCGATCGACCTGAAATTTATAAGAGTGACTACTGACTCTGAGCCCTATAATTGCTGGAAGTTTCATGTGAAACTGCTTATGTTTTCTATAGGGAGTGATATCAAGACAAAACGTCCCCCACCCTTTCTCTCTCCTTGAGAAAATCGATCGCTTTTGAGTATATTAGAAAACAGATATTTGTTTTGCGCTGGAGGACATTTTAAATATGACATACATACATTTGTGTACGCTTGGTTTATTCAATCTCATCACGCTTGAATGAGCTAATGTTTTAAAAGTATTTTCAGCAGATTTTTTTTCTTATGAATAAAACTCTCGTGTTCGAAATAATTCTTGAAAAAATTTTTCATTAAAAAATCGCACTAGTAATATCATTTATAACTAAACAGATTAAAATAATAGATCTCTTTTGCTTTTTTATTTGTGTTCTTTATATCTTTTGTCACCTTTTTGAATTAACAATAACTTGGGTTGAATAACACTGTTCTATTATATACATCATTTCATCGGTCATATTATTGAAAATAATAGGACAATTTTTCAATACCATGGTTAACATGATTTAAAGATTCTTTTTTTTACAATCATTATCTAATATTATACTGTAATATATCCCCTTTCATAGAATATCAATCTCAAAAAAGATGGCGTCTTGAATCAAACATTTTATTTTATTTATATTCCTCTGAATCATACTTGATAAATATGATGCAAAACTTTTTAGTCATAGTTTATATCTTCGTCTATGCGAAATAGTACATTATATGCTGTATACTAGCAGAAGAAAAAGAACAGAATATTTTTACCATCGACTGTTCTCAATCTCAAGTTCGTTGATATAGAACGGAAGAAAAAAAGAAAAGAAAAATAATTTTAACTAGGTATACGCGCAAGGTGGAAGAACAGTAAAGAAAAAAAAAAGAACATGCAGGTCACTTCTGACTACTAGCTCGCACATACACAAATGTGATCTTTGTTTCTTTAGATTTTATCCTGGTTAATGTCTACACGTCATTAAAACAATTTACCTTGTTTTCTAATATTTTTAAATAAGTTTTGTATCGATATGTGCAATGCGTTTAATGATTCGTCATCTATTATCTTTAATTCGTTCGCGACGACGAACTTCTTGTTTATTTATTATTAGTAGTTGTCTTAGTATAACATTCATTTTATTTATTATTAATCATGATCAACAAGCAGAAAATATTCCAAATAAAATCGTTCCAAGAGAAGACAAACAACCTAAATTATCGAATAATTTGACTGCATTCATTCAAAAAACTATTCCTATTCAAAGGTAAAAAAAAAAAAAGAAATCGATTTCTTCGTAGTTTATACGTGAATATGATGCATATGTTCGATTTCTCATTGAGGTTTCTTAAAACTAAATATCACAAAAAAACAAATTAATATTTATTTTTAGAAAAGGCACATGGCCAGTAGATGAAAAAGGTCGTTCATTAAAAACAAATTTCTTAGTTCTTGACTGGACAGGATTTTTTGGTTCGGGAGCTAATGAAGGTGAAGTTATTCAATGTCCATCATCCAATACAACATTTACATGGACACATCAACAAAGTCGAATTGATGAAGTTGATTTTATTGTTTCACATGATGGTCAAGGTAGTGGAGGTATTCCATTTGATCGTTTACATCTTAATAATGATCAACAACAATATACAATGGCATTTGTTATAGAAAGTGAAGTACATTCATTAACAGGTGATGCTTGGGCAAGATTTAATTTTAAAATGACATATAATCTTGATGATAGTTATCCAGAACCAGCAACTTATTTTGATATAAATACATTTATAATTGATTTACTTACACCATCAAGTATATCTTTTGAAAATAAAGAACAACAAGCAGATATTGTTTGGATTATTTCAAATTGCAATGTAAGAATATACTGTTGAATTTATCTTTTTTAATAGTATATAAAAAAAAGCAACTATACTTTGTTCGATGATTTTTGTCTGCGGAAAAGAATATATATAGGCTTCTAGAGAAAAACTTCTTCTATTTAATAATGTATACACTATCAAGTTCTATATTGCGCACGTTGATATGTCAATAGATGGCGCCACATTCCTCGCGACTACTGTACAAGGCGACAAACGTAGTGTTCTCTATTGACATATCCACAATACCCTTTATGACTTGATAATGCATATGGATGATTTCATCGTATAGGTGATATATTTACATCGAGTTCCTCCAAATCGATTTTCATTTTTCAAACCGTGTAGAGCATAGTCGATTTCCTTACTATTTGATAACAAAAGATTGGCTATAAATTGTAATATTGAAGCTATCAGCGATTTACAAAATTAATGCAAAATATGGCTAATACTATACAAAAATAATATAAAAATAATGCCAAAATGTCCATCATCATATATTGTTAATGGAGAATTTTGGTACATAGTGTTATAGAAGATTTTGTAGAGCAAAATTTGCTCTATAAAATCTGCTATGTCACTAGGTGCCCAAATTCTGCATTAACAATATATGATGATGGATATTTTAGCAATATTTTTATATTATTTTTGTATAGTATTAGCTATATTTCGCATTAATTTTGTAAATCGCTAATCTCTTCAACATTACACTTTATAGCGAATCTATTGTTATCATAATAAGGAAATCGACTATACTCTACATGATTTGAAATATGAAAACTGATTTAGAGAAAGTAATGTATGAAGTGTTACATATACGGTGAAATTACCCATATACTATTAGATAGAGGAAGAAGTCTTTCTCTACTGCATGTCGATCTGTAATCAAACCTTTATAGTTACATTTTAATTGTATTACAAAACAGCTGTCGTTCTAACTGATTAGTTTCCATTATCAAATTGAATCCTTGTTCTTATTCGTGATTTCTTCTTCACTGTTATTCCATCCATTTGATGTTAAAAGGTATAGAGAGCGAGAGAAAGAGCATATAATGTCTTCTACGGGTATCCTCGAAAACACGAGCACATCCACAACGTATGTCTTCAATATCTTCCATGCTACGAGGAAATCTTCAAAAAACATTTCATTTAAATTTCTAGGCTCATAATGGTCGAGAAGGTTTTGTCGAACGATTAATGCAAGAAATAAAAGTTGATTCATATGGATCATGTTTAAATAATCGTCGTGGTTATGGAGCTCGCATGACTGATAATATTGATGCATATAAAAAGTATAAATTTGTTATAGCTATTGAAAATTCTAATTGTGTAGATTATGTTACTGAAAAATTAGTTAAAGCAGTTGAATCAGGTTCTATACCTATTGTTGCTGGTCTTAATAATCATCCAGATTATCGACGATATATGCCTGAACATTCATATATAAATATATTTAATTATTCATCAATAAAAGATCTTGCTAATGATTTAAAACGTATTGGAAATAATAAAACATTATATGAATCTTATTTATGGTATAAAAAACATAATAAAGATATTTCAAAATTAAAAGAACTTTCATTAAATGATAAATTAAAATATTTAGCTGATATTATTGGTTCAAATGCAACAATGATTATAAATGGAATTGCAGGAAAAGAAAAAAGTGAAAATAAAATTTGTAAACTTATTCGATTTGTTCGTCAAACACCTTGGCAAGATATTGCTACACATAAAAGTACAGGACGAGTTGGTTCGGATACTGCTTGTTTACCAAGAAAATCTATATTAACTCATTTTAACTCGAAACATACTTAATAACGTTTAACCGCTATAGCACTTCAATATTATGGTCTTCTTGATTGGACGAAATGATTGTTTTTTCTTGTTTTTTTTTTGTGATAATATTTATTTTTTGTTTCTTTAGAAATATTGTTTAACATTATTAATTTTCTAGTCCAGATTTTCAGAAAATATAACTATATATTAAAGAATTTCGCATAATTTCCAATCGACAGGGTCTATTTCATAGTTTACTAAATATAAATTCAATACTACTGATCAAGAATATATGAATGAATGGAATAAATAATACAAGAAGAATTTTTCAAATGAAGTAAATCTTTCCTCTGATCGTAATGAATTTTGAACTTTTTTACAAATGAAATTTGTGAGGTACAGCTTTACTATAATATTCTTATCTAATGCCATTGTCTAAAACGAGTGTTGAAATATATAGGATACAAATTTGTTCGTTCCCCTCCCATGTCACAGGCAATGATACAGAGGATCAAGAGACACATTAGAAATGGCTCGTCACAGACATTGTAGCAGCACTTCTCTTTCCCCGCGTCACAGATCGCGATAGGCATTGTTGATATTCAATCAAAGACCGTATATCAATAACGTTTCATTACTATTTCCTTATTACATTTCTGAAAGATTAAGTAAAAGGATAATAAAGAAATGTGTCCCCGAATAGATACAATAAAACAATCTTCCTATGATTAGCAACAACAACTACATTGTGTGTCATATTTTAATCCGGTGGAGATTGCGTTAGCAGCTGTTTACTAAAAATCAAAACTTACCTAACATATACAAAATTCAGTTTGGTGGTAACTTTTCATGTCGAAAAATGGTAGCAATAATATTTTCAAACATCAACTGTTATGGATTCATAAATTGTAACTTTTTTTCACTCATATTGGATTGTACAATTCTAGTAAATAAATGATGAACAATGATTTAAATATACAATTTTTGAAGCTTTCGTTGTTCTATCTTTTGATAAATTGCATGAAAAAATTGTTTGATTTGTTGAAGAATAATCGTAGCAAACATGAATGAATCGGTTGAAGACTATTTTCTTAATAGTAGGTAGATAGCACTGAAAAGTCAGTTCAAATCAATTTTTCTATTGAACAATCTAAAAAGTTGAGTTTAATATGTTTCAATATATGGTCTTTCGAGAGTATATAAAAAATGAAAAATAAAGATTTTATTCATTGCTTTGTATACTGGAGTGGCTCTTAGTATTCTTATGAAAGCACTCACAAGTAGGCATGTACAAAGCTCGAACTGCTCGGTTTAGGCTCGGTATATGTCTACTCAACAAGACTAACTATTCATTATATTTACTAGTGGATATTAAGAAAAAAAAACATGTGTATGAAATGAAAAGATTGTTGTTGTTTTTCTTAAACTGCTATCTTTAAGATCGATGTATACAAATTGAATATATATGACATATAATACTTTCAGATTAGATAAAAGAACTAAAGTAGATTATAGTGTGGTTTGTTTTGATAAACACTACTGTTCTTTCGTGTGAATTAAACTTTGTTAATACATGTGTGATATTTTGACGCTAAGTGAATTAGTTAACTTGCTTAATTTTGTGACAGGCTATTGCGTAAAACGTTTTAGTGATAATCTAAATTTTGTTGTATAAAAATAATTTAGTTTCTTGTTACTTAGTCATATCCATTGATACTATTTATGTATAAAGGAATTGATTATGAAACTCGAAATGAGACAAATCCTCTTTATTATAAATTAATGATGAAAACAAACGATAAAAAACAGAGATGAAATTCCAAAATAGGAAAGTAGATTGAAGTCTTCATATAATAGTTCATTATCCATCGTTCGTAGTATCAATTATATTTCTAATGACAAGTTGTTTTGATAAGTATTTCGACAACAAACACCTTTATTTAATCTTTGTAAATATATTATGTACGAGAAGTGCGAACGTGAAACAAACATCATACTTTCATTCAATTACTTAAAACAACAAAAATACGTATGTTTAAAATGTTTTTTTAAATTTTCTTGCTAACCGTGAGGCGTAAAATGCAGTTCATACTTAATATTTTCTTTTAAACATACAGCACGAATGAAACATCTGCTTGAATTCAAACGTTTCTTCTTGCCCATAACATTTGTTCGTTTCCTACTTATTAAAAGTAATATTTGCTTTTGAAACATGCCTGCTCTTATCGCTCAATTCGCCATTCATCACTAAAAAGAAAAGATTTAAAAGTGCGTTACCATTTCATCAACGGCATACTACGGATTTCTTCATTTCGATTTACGATAGATGACAATCAGTCGACTTCTTTTCGTCTTTTTATTTCTACGAGTTTCTATTATACATACTTCTCATTTTCGTGGCGGTACCATTACATGGTTAGTATCTGACAATCTATTTTTATCAAGTTTTTGAAAAGTAATTATTTCATAGGCGTCCTCTCAATAATACTCCATCGGGTAGCACTGTTGATATTCAAATACGCCAACGATATTCATGGCGTCGTTCATCTGTCGCATGCACTGATACCACCATAGCTAACCGAGTCTTAATTGGAGATAATACAGCTGTTAATTGTGTAACTGGTACTTGTTCTTCTTGGAGCAGTATGACCACAAATACATATTGCACTGATTATAGTGGTGGTCTTGATGTTAGTTCTGGTGAAAAATATGTCACAAAAACAATAACACTCGGCATTCCATTCAGTATAGCTTTTGTTTCATCTGCCTGGTTTGCAAATCTTGTTATTGGAGCTAACTCTGGATGGAATATTGTTAATCGAATAAATACCGTTATTAGACCTGATGGTTATATAAATGCAAGTCCTGTTGCTACCACTCTTCCTGTCATTTACAAAGCTATTAATCAACAGCATGTACATATTGTTCAAATATCTGATTTTGATGGAGGTGATATATTAAAATGTCGTTGGTCTACTTCATCAACAAGTAATTATAATTCATATAATGAATGTGGTGGTGTTTGTTCAGGTGTACCTGGTGCCCTTCTTTACAGTAATAATTGTACATTAGTCTTTACATTGACACAAGCTGCAGTATACGCTGCAGTAGCTTTACAAATTGAAGACTATTATAATAATGTATCAACAACACCAATGAGTTCTGTTCCACTTCAGTTTCTTTTTTATGGTTATGCTGTACCTAGTGGTTGTAGTACTCCACCAAGTATCATTGGTAATCGACCAAATCGAGGTAAGTAAGAATCTTATCAGGAACTTTCTCAAACAACTATAATTTGTTATTTATTAAGCATGTATTGGTACACCAATAGGATCCACTGTCAGTGAATATGTCATCGCACAAATTGGTTGTTCTGGAAAAACTATTATTGATTTCACTTCTAGTTCTCCGGTTGGTATGACGAAAAGTACTATTCAAAATCCAAGTACTGGTTAGTACATCTGACATATGTTGTTTTTGTTTTTATTTTAATGTCTCAATTATAGGTATCTATCAAATCGTTCTCAGCTGGATTCCTACATCTGATCAATATGGTCCACAAGGATTCTGTGCAGGAGCTGTCGATAGCACGAATGTTCAATCAGAACAATGGTGTATTACATTTTTAGTTGGTTTTGAATCACCTAGTATCATTCGACCAACTGCTGTTCAAGGTTCTGCTTCACCAATCGGCACCATATTTCAAAGTCATACAACTTTCTCAATTCAAAGTAATCTTAATAATGTTTAATATAAAAGATAGGATTAAGATCGAATACTATATGAAACTTATAGCAATCATGTACGTATAGAAAAAGTTTCTATCGAGTATTTTTAGCCTTGGCTTCTTCCAAAGTTGTTGAGAAAACAAGAATAAATAAATGAATGTACATAAAATACATGTTAAATTTGTCGATTCTGCCAGATTTATATGATCGATTATTGAAAAAGATTAAGTAGAAATTCTATCAAATCAATTTTGGATCACTTTCTTCTAAAAGCAGCTCTATCATATTATAAAATATTGTATTATTTAATTGTGTTTCTATTGTTTTTAGCTACACGTTCAGTTAGTCGACCAACACGTAATGGTACTTACATACATTTTAAAGATTCTACTACAAATACAATTGTTCAATCATATGATTGTGGTTGGCAATCAGAAGTAACATATACTGGATATACAATTGTTATTCGTTTTCCAACTGCACCATGGATTGTAGGACATTCATATTATGTTATGTTTGATAGTGGTATGAACTTATTTCTATTACACTTCATCTTTTGATATGCATATTCTTATTCTTCATTTTAAGGTGTAGCTAGTGGAACTGAATTTTGTGGTAAATAGAATAGATTAACAAAGAATCAATTAAAAAAAATAACATGAATTAAATTAAATCATTAAAGGTCCTGAATCTGCACCAATAACTGATCCTTCATTTTGGGTTTTTGACATCTGGAATCCAGGACATTCATCTACAACAACAACAACAACTACTCCACCAACAACTAAAACAGTTACAACAAGACCTATATCAACTACAAGTGTCAATACTCTAGTAAGTTGATTGATATGTTATTCATATGATCATTATTAATTGTTTTTTTTATAGTTGACAACAACTGGTATTGTAATTTCAAGTACATCTACTCATTCTACAACAACTACAACTAGTTCAACTTCGACTTCAACAAGTAAAAGAAACTTTTATTTTTCTTTGAATAAAACAAATCAATTAAAGTGAATATACAGTAAACATGTCACTATCTCTTTGGATATATAAAAAGAGTTTTCTATATACTTCATAAGTGTATGTCTCAGTATCACATGAGAAATATATGTAAATTTAGTATTTGTTATTGTATAACTACGTAAACTTTGATGACTTAACGAAAAGAATTTATTAAATTATAGTTTTCATTAATAAGAATGCAATATATTTTCATGTGAATTGTTTTAGCTACAACAACAACAGATACAACTACAACAACTACGACAACAGGACCAGCTGTTAATGTTATGTATCCTAAAGATATGGTAGGTTTCAAATTGATTCTGATTTATTTCTCAAATATATATATATATTTTAGGAAAAAGCATGTCAACAACCAGTAATAATTATGAATACTGTTTCTATGCTTGTTATGGTTCCTGTACAAGCTATAGGAATGTTTGTTTGTTTTTCAAAATTTGCCACTATGTTTGATCCATCAAAAATTCAAGCAAAAAAGAGACATGCACAGCGACTGAAAAAACTTAATCAACGTTAAAGAATTTTTCTTCTTTCTTGAATATTTGAAATCTTTTTCTTTTGATCATTGTATAAAAGTTGACAATTCTCTGAATGATAACAAAGCAAAACGAGTACTTGTATATTTGAATTGACTTTCGCCCTGTTTTATTTTAAAACAATGATTTTGCTTCGCATATTTTTTTTTAAACTGTAACATAATATATTTATTTTTTTCCTTATATCCAACTAAAATTTTGAATTCTATATGATTCTGTTGTATTGAAATAAAATGTATCATAACAGTCTAAGATTTTGAATTAATCTTATAGTTTATAATATGAATAGCAATCATGTCTTGAAATTATAGAATTTAAATTTAATTAATTTTTCTAAAAAAAAAATTATATATTGGTGTCCTCAGAGAAAATATTTCTAGTGTTTGATTAATTGCTTAAGTAGTTTAATATGTTACTTTGCGATGTATTTTAAAGATCCCAGTACTACAAATACTAATTGTTCAATATATAATTGTAGTTGTGCAGGAGAACCAGTATACAGTGGATATAGAATTATCATTTGTTTTCCTACTACACCATAGATTATACAATATTCACTTTGTGCTGTGTTTGATAATGGTATGAACTAGTGTTTATTATTATTTTCTTCTCCATCAAAGGTGGGTATAGGTACGCGGTGCGGATGCGATCCTCTTGAAGGATCTACACCCACACGTCCATCTAAACTGAGATGATTTTCATGGTATGAGTGATTGAAGTATTGTATTGCTTTGATTATTTTGATTCAATAAATAAACTGCTAGGAATTACGTTCTTCACGATTATAGTTTGGAAATTTAAAAATTCAGTCGATTTAAAACCTAGATAGTTCAAACAATCTGATAAAATATTTGTTTGATAGATTTTTATTTTCAAGTCATTAGAATAATATATAAATAATAAGATGAAAAAAAAATGTAAAAACGCCTTTTGTCCGTATATAATTTTCACTATATTTACGGAATGAAGAGCCATAAGGCGCAAAAGCTTGTAGGCAGAGTTTTCTTAGTTTCGATGATATCTATTTATAGCTAAAATATGATGATGAAATCTCGAAATCGATTGGAATATTTCATTCATCAGGTAATTGAAATTTTTTCACTAAAAAAAACTTGACGTGGAAATTTCTTTAAAAAATCATTCGTTGTCTTGTGAGATAGACAATCAACTGCATAGACAAAATACAATTCAATAGAACAAGCAAATGTTCTATTTATGCATAAAAAAAATAAAACAGTTACAATGCTCATAAAGGATGTTCCATAAGTAACACCCCCTCCCCCTTTTTGTTTTCTTTCTCTCTTTGTCGTATTCGACCGTGAACAGATATTCAATATAGATTTTTAAAGAGCATCATCTAAGCTATCAATCAAAACAAAAAATTGTTTAAATTTGCATGAACTCTAAGACAGAACTATATCGATAAAAATTTTGTCAAATGCATTTTTTACTTTTTGTCTATAAATGACTACTCCTTGCCAGTATTTTGTGAATATCTCTCTTATTTTCTGATAGTTCGACTTAAATTTTTTTTCAAAAGATAGCCCGTGTAATTCCCTACAAAACCCAATAAAGGGTATCTCTTCAAAATAATAACTGAGAATGGCATGAAACCTATTTTTTCCGGAGATGAGAAATAATTACTATTGTAAAAAACAAGCCTCTGTGAAAGTGGAATTTTTTGGAGTGTAACACCTCCGATCAGATATAGTTTTCTAATTGTCATTTTGAAGAGGTACCTTTTATTGGGTTTGTAGAGAATTACACGGACTATCTTTTGAAAAAAAATTTAAGTCAAACTATCAGAAAATAAGAGAGATATTCATAAAATACTGACAAGAAATAGTCCTTCATAGACAAAAAGTAAAAAATGCATTTGACAAAATTTTTATCGATATAGTTCTCTCTTAGAGTTCATGCAAATTTAAACAATTTTTTGTTTTGATTGATAGCTTAAATGATGCTCTTTAAAAATCTACATTGAATATCTGTCCACGGTTGAATACGACAAAGAAAACAAAAAGGGGATCGTTACTTATGGAACACCCTTTATGAATAATAGATAAGAAAGAAACTACGTAGAAGATGATCAGAAAATTATTACTAGCACAAATCTATGTTCTTTTGCTTTCCAAAATTCATCGAATCTTTCGAACAAGATATAAAATTAAACAAAATGAAAACTATATTGTCTCTTAACATCTATTAGCACAATCTCTGTGGGATTAAAATGCAAAACACGATGTAACTTGTCTTGCTGATCACAGCGAACTTGTTTTATTCTAGCAATTCTCGGATATATTTCTTCACTATCTTTTTACTTAATTGTCCCGAAATGTAATAAGGAAGTAGTTCTTTAGATCATATTTCACAAAATAAAGTAATCAATCTCTGTAGCAGAGATGTTCATTGTGACTGGAAATCTGTCGCTACTGCAATGGTTTAAAAAAAAAAGGTGCCGCCATGGACATCTTTATTATATAGTTAGAGAATTATCAATAGAGATACATCAAAAAATTTTTATTGTTTTTTCTTTACATTTCAAGAAAAAACATAAAATCCAATAGATAATTCAATTAGTAATTTGTTCATTAATAATAATTAAACAAATTTTTCTTTTCGATTTTGATTAACATCTATTGAATTGTTGTCTTGATCACTGTTTTGTTTATTTTGATCTTCATTATTTATAGAATTATTTTCATCATCAATATCAAATCTACTGTTATCAATATCATCATCATATTGTAATGTATAACGTTGATCGATATTACGTGCTGTACGTCTCAGACGTTGAACAAATAAATTATTCTTCTTTGAATTAATACGATTTCGATTTGAATTATCAAGAATATTTCCACTTTCTATAAATAAATAAATTAATTAAAAACAAACATTTTCTTTATATTATACAAACCAACTACATTACCAACGAACGCTACAAGAAATAGACATGCTACGATGAAAAGTAAGATAATTGATCGAAATTTCATTGTTGTTCTAATACATTTAATAAAAACAATACAATACAATATTTATATTCTTAATAATATATTTACCTTTCAAAAAAAAATAATAATACTCTGTCTTATATGTATGTAAACAACAAAGAATATCACTGCTTGTTCGAATGATAATTGTTCGTTCTATTTGAATATATGTGATATTTGATTTTACTACCATATGGATTTAATAAAATATATTCGAGAAACATACAATAATCTTTTTTTTTTGTTTTCATATAGTTTGTTCTTCAGAGAGAGAAATCATTGTATCTCTTTTGTTATAATTGATACCATTTGATCAATAGAAGAAAAATATATTCGAACATATTTTTTTAATAGAACAAAAAAACAAAAACACCAGTCAATCGAAATAACCATCAGTTTTAAACAAACTAAAGAATTACTTTTGTTTTTGTTTTTTTTACAGAAATCAATTATTATTTAACTAGAGTATAACTGACTATTATTTAAACTAATTTAACGAAACATTTCTTTTGTTGTTCGGAATTAATAAACTTTCATATCGAACGAAATAAATATATATTCATTTCTTCACCAAATGAATTTATAAAAAAAAAAAAGAAGAGAGATAGGTTGAGTGATCATAAGATTTTCAAATAAGGTGTGTCAAATAGAAACAACAATGAACGAAAGATGTATTGCAAACACAGATCTATAATTAACGATTTACACTGGATCGTGTGAGCCATGATTGAATGTTCGAGGTCGAGCAGCACCTCGATTACCGACGATAAAACGAGATGATTTTGATTGTGGTTGAGTTTTATTAAGATTAAGTGTTGGCTGTGGTGCAGATTCCTTCATTTGAAAAAATCAAATAAAAATATCTTTAATAATAATAAAATTATTCTTACCGGAGTAAGACGATGATCATTTGATGTAGATACAGAAGTATCAGTAGCATTTGTTGATTGACGTAATGTTAAAAATTTTGCTGATTGAGCCAATAATGATCGACGAAGACGTTTATTTTCTTCTACTTGACGTGCTAATTCAATAGCTAATTCTTGACGTTCACGTTCCGCAATAATCTAAAATAAAAAATAATAAAATAAAAATTTGAAATATATAATTATCAAACCCGTTCATTGCCCAAATTTGGTTCTAATCCAGTAGTTGCTCTCAAAGATCGAAGTAATAAAATACTTTCTGTTTTTAATCGATTCAATTCAGATCGAAGACGATCATTTTCCAATACTAGTTGCTAGATATTCATAAAATAAAAATAATCATAAATTATAATGATATAATAAATAAATACCTCATTGGCTTTCAAAACATCTTCTATAGATGTATAATTTGGTACTTTAATATCCGCAAATGGTGGTGCATCTTTACGAAGTACTTGTTCAAGATGTACTCTATAAGATCGAAGAAGATTAGTCTCATCCGAACTATTTACTGGTTGAGATGATGATGATTGTAATGCACCATTATGAAAACTTTTACTACGAGTAACAGGTACTTGAGGTAGAGGACGTGAAAAAGGTCCATCATGCGTAGAAATTATCTGCATTTCATCATTGGCTGTTCTACGAGCATTAGGTGCCAATGGAATACGAGGAGGACTTGTAACTCGAGCTGATGTCGGTTGTGAAATTGGTGGTTTCCTAGTCGAAGGTGAACGATTAAGATCAGATTCATTTGATGGCGTCAAAAAAGCTTGATTGACTTGACCTTTTAGTGAAGCCATTTCACGTTCAAGAGATTCAAGACGATCATGATCTAAATATTTCATATATATATATATATATATATATATACATATACAAGTGTTTATCAAGGAAGAAGAAACAAACACTTCTATTATAAAATACATACAAAGTCGTTGTGAACCAGTATAGTCATTAAATAATGATGCTATTTCAGTACGAGCAGCAATAGAAGATCCTCCTTCTCCACGAGCAGCTGTTTCATGTACTGGTTCTCGGTTTGAACGCACTTGTTGCATGTTTATAATTTCAACGACGTCAATATGCACTTAAACAAGCATCATTTATTTCTCTTTTTTTTCATTTTCTTTTACTCATACCATAGCAATGCCTCTGTACAACATGGAAGTCGCTATCGAACAGTACGACAATAGAGTTGTTGTGAATTGTTTTTTTTTCATAGAATTGGAAGGACAATTTGTGAGACGTAATAAACAATGAAGGTTACTTTACTTGTATGACAATAAATTCTTTGTATTAAATATTTATTATAAAAAAAAAAAATTGTATCATTAATTTATTATTATTTCCTACAAATGTTTTATCAATAAGAACAAAAGAAAAAAAAGAAAGAAAGAAAGAAGTATTTTGTTTTTTTCAAAGCTCATAATATCGAAAATGTAATCGACCACTAGCAAAAGCAATTAAACCCATTGAAAATATTGTAAGTAAATGTCCAGTTTCAACAAGATTAGCACTATAACTATTATATGTTGTAACACGTGAACCTTCAGCAAGAGCTGCAACCATAAAAAGAGCTGCAAGAAAAAGAATTATTGGTGCAATAAAAGTTAATAAACCAATTAATTGAATAAAATTCATAGACAAAATAATTAACATTCCAAGACCAAGTAGACAAAGAGCAACAACTAAAAGTCCAGCTGCATGTTGAGTACCAAGACCAAGTACAGTATTACGTTGTATATCACTACAACTTGACGATGTATTAAGTATATTACCTGTACATTGAGTAAAAAAATTATAATAAACTATTTTACCAGTTGAATCTTGATTAAAATACCATGAATATGTAGCTGTACCAACAATTGATAGAATTAAAGCGGCTATAGTAAAAAGACCAGTTATGAATACAATCATACGACTCAATGGATCTATCAATGTTGATGATGTTCGGCTAGATAATACGTTCATTTGTTAAACTATATTAAAATATAAATGAAGAAGATTTTTTATTTATTCTAAATTGAACTGAGAATTTCATCCGAACATGTATAACTCTTCTTTTTTCTGTACTACTATCGAGAAGACAAAAATTTCATTAAATTTTAAAGATTTTATGATCAATGAAAATTATTCAAAGAATTTTTCTTGTTATTATAATTTAATTTTTTAATAAATTTTAAGTTTTCAAAAATGTTCTTAAGTATTTTATAGAAAATAAAAAACAATTCTTACTTGCTTTAGAGTAATACTATCGTTTGTTATTAAAATCGATTGAAATTTTTTTGTGAACAAAACATATATATTGTTGTTTTAACTAGCAAAAGAAATTGGGAAGGAAAGAAAAAAAAGTATGTTAATGTTTCTATAGGCAGTATGAGTTACAAAAAAAAGAAAAGAAACAGAATGAAGTTTGGCAATGAAAATGACCGAATATTTAATCTTTCTATAACTTGGTTTCTTTTTGCTGTTCACTGTTCCTTTTTTTTCTTGATTTATGGTTCTGATAAAAATGGGTCAACGAAAATTAATCGACGCAAGAAATAGTCTAGAAATTTATAACAAAAAAGGAAAAAAAGAATTCTTTGACAAAATCGACAGCTGTGTAGAAAATAGAAAAATATTACTAGTTTATAAACTGTTTCTCGTACTTAAAATTTTTTGGGTTAATACCATGTACAAGTAAAGTGAATGTCGAGCTTTCTTCGAAATACTTGATTTAAAGAGGAAGAAAAAGTAAAAATAAAGAATGGATACGAGTAGTGAGATGAGTCTTCTTGAACCCTATCACACACATATTCATCTCAGTTGAAGCTCTTATATTTTTTTTATTATGAATTTCTCGACTATCTTTCGCTTCGGCCAATTTTCGTAGTGACTAATTTTCGTTCGATCAATTTTCGCTTTTTCAATGTGAATGAAGTGTTGTATGTAGGCATGTACTGAACTTTTTTTTGTTACTCTCGAACATTTTTATATTAATATTTTAAGTTCTGAAATGAAATACTGAATGATTTGGTCTAATCTATCAAAATATAAACAAAATGTTGCTGTACAAAATGCAGCGTCTTCTGCGTTCTTGGTTTCAATTATTCTAATTTTTATTTGCATCATTAAAAAAAAAGGTCTCAATCGAGCTTAACTGAGTTCGAGCCCCGAACCCAGGTTCAATTTATAAAGTTTTCATAAAAATGAAAAAGTTTCTTGCACGGAACTCGAGTACATCTCATTTGATAGCCTAGATTGTATGATTCAGCCTTTTATTTCATAGTTCAAGCTGTTGATATAAAGTGCTCGAAAATAACGCAAAAAAAAACTCGATACATACCTAATTGTATGTATCATGTAAAAGCATCCAACAGGCGAAAATGAAAAATTACAACTCGAAAAAAATTGATGACCAAAAGTATCTTTGTGTTTTTAGTCATAAAAAGTATCTAAAATCATTTGATGATCAAAAAAACTTTTTCTCCTCTTTGTCACAGACGCTAGACACTGTTTAGAGTGTCGTATTTTTCAAAATAGAATAAGTAGGCTCTTCAAACAGTGTCCAATATCTGTAAAAAAAAGTTTACAGCACGAGAGTTGGATTTAATGGATGTACTAATCAACAACAAAGAGTACTTGTTCATATAGCATTTGATAGAGAACATTTCAAAAATATATTAGCGATGAAAAACCGAAAACAAAATAAATTTTGATTTTAACATCCAGAAAGCAGGAAAATTCCCTTAACTGAATTAGAAAATGTTAATTTCATAATTGATATTAAATGATGTTTACATTCTGAGTTTAAACATTTGAAAAAATGATTCATATGTTTTTTGAATAATTATCAAACAGGTAACGTTCATCGATAGTCGATTCGCTTCACTCTAGACTGACATAATAGTCTACAAATAGATATTCAACTGTATCTGCCTGTCTGTAATACAATAATCATATGATAACTATGGTCATGTGTGCCATATTTTCAGTCATTTCGACCATATTTATCATAGTTGGACTAAAATTTTAACCATTTTTGTAATATTTTTGGTTACCCGTGCCTTCTCTTTGGTCACTGACCAACGAGGTAACACGAGTGCCCAAAAATATAGTCTAAACGGCCACGAACATGCTTCAAGCACCCAAAACAATGGTACATATGACCAAATATATGGTTATCTATATCATCAATATGGTCGCTTGTACCATGATTATGATCATCTTTACCATTATTTTGGTCACTTGTACCATATGTTGCAGATATACAGACACAGGTGAATTTTCATTTCCAGACTCTATCCTTTCAGTCTAGGGAATATCATTCATGTCAAATTTCAGATTGAAGATTTCATTGTTCAATTTTGATGGCTTCGGAGTATGTATTGCAATCGAATTCACCAATGGATCTATTAGTACAATGAAGATTGTTAGTATCATTATTGTTGAAAGAGGTTTTTTAATCCAAAATGAGTCTGAGAACACTTTGGGGAAAAAAATAATTTACAGCATAATAATAAACTGTTAAAACTGAAATTCTATAAAAAAAAAAAAAGTATGTTTCATCTATCAGTTTTTAATATTTTATTATTAATAGATAAAAAAAATCAACTAAAAAAAAAAGAAACAAAACAAAGTCCTACATCATCATCACCTCACAGTAATAGTAAAATAATTTACATTTACTGTATTTTTACAGTTGTTTTTGAACTGTTCTGTTGCAAATTAAGATTTTTTCGACTAGTAAAATAATTCTTAACACCTGCATTACGTTTGACGTCTGCTAAGTTTTCTTGTATTGATGTATACATATCATATGGTGCTGGCTTAGTTTTATTATTTTGACGTGGACTTGGAAAAAAATAAAATGATAATGCAGTTACCAAAGTTGATTGATCAAAACGATGTATATCTGTTGAAGCATTTGCACGTTTACAGTAAGTTCTATAAGCATATGGTGCTATACACATTGAGTCAAGAGCACATGTTACCCATGTTTTAAGTATAAGACGTGATAGAAAATTATCTGTTACAGCAACAAAACCTGCTTCAGCAATATAAATATCCTCAAATGTTGAAAATGTTTCATTGAACCATAAAAATGTTTTACTTAAAGTAAAACATGGTAAATATTGTCCAGGTAATTCACGACATGAAAAACCACGTATCATATTATCAATAAGTAAACGATCGAAATTTGATGTTTTATAACGAATTGATGTATCACCATAAATAATAGTACCAAAACGTCGTACGGCATCCTAGAACTATGAATATTTATATTTAGTTTTTTTTTAGAAATAAATATTCAACCTGAATTACGATAGGTTTCCAAGCAAAATAGCGTAGATTTCGAACATGAGGAGCAATAGGTGCAATTTGAGCAAATGGAAATGGAATAATTATACATCGTTCACAGTTCTCTTTGATCTAGAATAAATTCAAAACTCTATAGATTATATTTCCCTTAGAATAAATGTTGTTTTTTAGATAGCAAGTGATCGAAAAGTGTTTTTGACAAAAATTGAAATTCATGTTTCTTCTGTTCTACTATTAATATGTGTCTAACTTTTTGTACAAAAAATATACGAGCTATGAATAGAAGTATAAGCCTATCGACTGAACCGCCGCCATCGCTTCTGTGACACGAAAATAGATATTTGATTTTTAAAAGTTTCCGACGTCTCGAATCAAGTTTTGAACATGTTGCTGTCTGATTTCTTGTTAATAAGTTCTCTACCATCGTTTTCTCTCTTTTTCATTTCAAATTTTTTTAAAAACTCATCGAAAAACTCAAGTGGCTGGCGATGAATGCATCAGCTTCTATTTCTACCTATCAATCTGAGTATTAAAATATTTCAAGTATTGAAAATGATCGCTTATCTTTCTTTTTTCCTAACTTTATTCGAAAGTCCTTTTTTTGATCGTTTGCTCAACATTAATATCAACTTGTTTTGATTTTTGATAAATTCTTCGTTTTAATTATTACTCTGTTTTTTTTAGAGTACAGATCTGTTATCGGACGAATGTGTTATTTTGCACTGAAGAAAATATTGGTGTTATTTCATTTGTCGAACATGATGATGTCAATTCTATCTGGTCTAGTGATGAATTTTTAAGTACACTTTTTCATTTATTAAAACACATTATGCTCAACATGTATATAATATTAGGTAAATTGAGCATCATGATATTAGGCAAAATAAATAAAAACCAATGACTTTTTCAGCGTAAAATCACACATTTGTGTCAAAACCGGTCAATTGACTATATGTTCGAAAAAGTCCGATCTATAGAAGTTTATTGTTCAATGTTTTTTGATAAAATGCATGGGAGATATTGAATGACACAAACAGAATAACAAGTAAAACGAAAAATTTATTAAAAATTGAAACAAGTTGATATCAATATTGTCCAAACGATAAGAAAAGGATTTGCAAACAAAGTTTGGAAAAAAATAAAGATAAACTACCATTTTCAATGCTTTGAATATGTGATTTCGTAGATTCATACCGTATATATTTCGTTTAAAAAACATCAGATCCAAATCATTAGTAGAACAGGAGACACGTAAATTTCAATTATGTCAAAACACTTTTCCATTATTTATTAAATTAGAAAATTTCTTTTAACTTTCTTATATCTTACCATATTTAAATGTTTTATATTAAGTTGAAGATCATAAATAGCAACAATATAATCCTTTAAATAATTATTAATTGTACTCATTGATGCTTGTAATGTATCATAAAATAGTGAATCAGCTGCAAGAATAATAACTGGTTTTTGAATTTGATCTTTTGAAGTTATATTCCAGGTTAAGTGTTGCTTTTTAAAACCATCAGATAAATAATTTGAAACTAATTTTAAGTAAGTAATAAAATTTTGTTTTATAACAATATGACCATTGTCAGATATATTAATATATTGTCGAAATAGACAATAAATATTTTGTAAACGTTCAGTATTATTAGCAAATGGACGTAATGTATTATAAAAATCATTAAAACGAAATATATCTAAATAATCAAATATTGTACGATATTTATTTTCATGTGAAATAAGGATTTGAAAAAGTTTATGCAATCGTTCAATTGTTGGTTGTGGTCGACCATCATTATTATTATTATTATTATATGATGAAGTAGACTGTAATAAGGTTTTGATTTCATTAGAATTACATGGATTTAAAAGAGCATAATTATTAATCATTATTTCTTCTTTTATAATAAGTTTAAATTTTGTAAGTATTAATTGATTAGAAGTAGTATAATTTATAAGACGTAAATATGTTAAAATAATAAAAAGAATACATACAGTTGATAAATATCGTGGTTTAAAACATTTTCCTAAACGTAAAATGAATAAAAGCCATAAACTCGGCTGTTGTCTGACACTACTAGTCGAGCGTTTCATTGTCAATTATCGATTGAGATGCGTTATTTATTCAATTTTTTGTTATTTGTTCTAAACATAACAGAACAATAAATTCAATTGTGACTATAAAAAAAAGAAACTTTGAATACAATAGAATTCATTCAGACAAGAGAGTCTAGAAGAAAATTGAAATATCAACAAAATTAAGAGCACGCAAGAACATTTCTGGGTCGTACTTGTAGTATAGACATTGTATCAGAGACGTAGCGAGAAGAGTGTACGCAGTGCCTGTGCAACTCCTTAACCAAAAAACATTTGGAGGAAGTACGGATTAAAAAAAACCTTTTCGGGAAACAAAAAAATTATTTTCCTACTGATGGGCACTCTCTAACACAAGTTGAACACCTCCCTTGGAAAATTCCTGGCTACGCTCCTGCATTGTGTACGCAGAAGAATGAAAGAAACATAACACACTTACTTGGCGCAAAATTAAAACGTAATAATTCATGAAAGTTTTCAATCTTTAGATTTAATTTAATCGATTATAAGGTGACAAAAATGAGTTCTATATTAATAGAAAACAAACGAAAAAACATGTGTCTACATTCACTTATCGTTACAATATTAAATCTCAAAACGTTGATAACATAATGAAGAAAAGAATAGTTTATTAAATCTGTGATTTCAAACATAATAGATTTAGTCTAAACTTGGATATATGATCTTCAGCTTTTAGTAAGTATTAGTTTGTTGTATTTTAGATAATGATGACAATCATTCATATCAACTGATTCGAAATTTTCGATCTCATGTCAACTCAATAAAAATTACATCATTCGAAAGAGCATAAAAAGTTGAGCAAAATCTACTAATTTTCTCGTCGGTGTACTGTTGACTATCGAAAAAAAAATTTTTGAATGTACACTTCCTAACAGAAATAACAAGATACCTTTAATTCTCTACACGCAGATCGATGAATACGAAGTTGATATACGCCAGTAAACGGCCGTATTTTGACCGTTTACGTAGTTCAGTATTACGATTGTATATAGCCGTGACCGTATACGAAGAAATACGGAGCAGAGCGAAGACCATATATGGACTCCGCACGCGAAGATTATAAACGGCTGTGCTTGTTTGACGTGGGTATATATTTCTCTTTGAGTGACTTTTTTATCGTTATTTCATTTTTATCGTTATTATACTTTTATCATTCTGCTTGGTATGTTTACAAACGTA